ACAGCGAGAGAAGTACTGTCTAAACTCTTTAGACCAATTTTTTAATATAAGAACTACAATTATTAATGTGAAATCATGATGTAATGCTAAAGATTATTTCATGAAAAGCAGTATCACCTTGAAATAATTGTTATTGTTAGTGTAACATTATTAGGTTAACTAAATAAAAATTCTTTTTTTATGAAACACGAGTAGTCTGCTTCCCTCAAGCATTTATGCAGTAAATACTATACAATGCTAGACAACCAAAGAAATGAGCTGTACTCATGGGACCAAAGGAGGGAGAGGCTTTAATAATTCTTTAGTAGTGAAATGCAGTGATCTACATGTGTTTAAACATTCATATCCGTATTACTTGTTCACTGTTGTCGATAAATGTTCTTTACTTCTCAATATTATTAGTAACATGATTACAAACTATAACCTCAATTACTGCGTTATCGTCACATTATCGTATTTCGCTATATGAATGAAAAAACTCTATCTACTGCTCTCTTCTTAATGTGGCATTAAATATTAAACACCTTTACCTTGTTGTCCCGATTTCATTCTAACCTGCCCTTAAATCCTTATTCTAAACTGCAAAATCATTTAAACTTCCACTCTGGCAAACATAAAGAATTCGAAATAGAATTCACCAGCACACGCCTCCAATTCCAGTCTAACGCCGGGTGCTCTCGGTCCGAATCCGGAATATAAATTCAACTGATTTGACTAAAACATTTCCTGGATCCGGTATCCTCTCAAGCCTCCCTGTCCGACAACAGCTCCGGTCACTAAACCTATGCCCCTCACAAAGATCATATTGGAAAAAGACGCTTCCACATCTACTAGAAAATTCAATAAACGACCGACAAAACACGAAAAACGAGATAAAAATGCCTGTACTGCTCACTTATATCGAATAAATTTTTTTATTCATACGTGGCAACAATGCGAAGGGGTTTTTTCGTACGGTTTTCCAATTTTTCAGGTGACGACGTGAAGGTTTTTCCTTTTCTTGCTTTGCTGAAAGATGAGAGGTTGTGATAAATCGAAAGCTTGTACGTCAGTTCTTTATTCTGATGACTTTTCGCTATGAGCAAATCGGATTATGAGAGGAGTAGTCGCTGAGGTTTTTCCGTTCAATTGTTCGGGGAAATGTCTATTAAATTGGCACGGGAGGTTTATTCGGTTATTATTCAGGCGATGTTGTGGAATTTTATTCGGTTAATTTGACGGTTGGTAGATGGAGTGCCGTATTTATTATAAAGAGATTAGAGCCGGGGAGGTTTCTCGGAGGCTTTATCAGAAAGCAGACTCGGAATTCCATGAAATGTCGAGTATTTGGCGCAAAAAATGCACACGTCATTTAACGAAACGCGAACTTTTAATTGCTGAATATAACGAACAGAAGGCAGAGAAATGTTATTATTTACACTAGGTGTTGAGGTAGCTTGACGGTGGTTTAACTCTCAGAGCTCAAATATCCAGTGTAAATCTTGCTCAAATCATGATTTGTTAAGTGAATATTTGTTATAGATTTATTAGTCTGTTTCTCATATAAATATCATCCATACTGTGGTGACCAGATTTGAATTAAAATTTCACGCTGAAAAAAACAGCGGCGCGAAATCGCATTTGAATAATTTGAATTAAAAAAACGACGCCACAGTTTTCCCAACACACGTAGCAGAACTATGCGAATTTTCGACCGACGCTAACACGTGGTGTAAATTTGTTTTATTGTTTGTAAATTCACAGTTCATGTTAGGGTTTTAATCATTAACTAAGTCTAACACGATTTAACGGTCTTGAGATTATTTAGATACACCACTTGCTAGGAGATTTCATGAAATTCACTTAGTCAGGACTCATGCTTTGTTTACCAAATTATGAATAATAAGTATTTCTGGATACTTATACTTAAGTGTTACATTATAACACTTCTTAATTCTTCACATAAGATTGTTAATAGTTCATTTATGGCAGTTAAATCAACCTCACGTTGCCCCACTCTGGCAACAGACCGTGAAAGTACGGTAGAATTCATAATATCGTGGACTGAGGTACGGGGGGATTCAAAATTTTTCCCCTTAGACAATTATCACCGAGACGCACATTCCTCGCAACGCTGGATACATTTTGTGTTGTTTATTTATCATGTGTTTCGTTGGGGACAGTGCACGATATAAACTCTCAAAGCTAATGGTTTTAAGTAACCATTCACTGAGATTACGGCATCAATTAACAATGTAAATTCTTTGTTTGAATCGTTGATAAAGTGTGGCATAATTTAACATAATGTAAATTCTTTGTTTTAATCGTTGATAAAGTGTGGCATAATTTAAGATAATGTAAACTCTTTGTTTGAATCGTTGATAAACTGTGGCATAATTTAACATAATGTAAATTCTTTGTTTGAACCGAGCAGAGGTTTGAACTGTAAAACCTCGTTGAGCAAATTAACAACATTATGGGTCATGTGGAACGTGCATTTTATTCCTTTGATTTAAACCATTATTTGCACAGCGCCACAGGATTGATCGCATTTCTGGATCGCATATTTTTGACGCATTTTTTTTAACGACGCATTCGTTCGACGCCATTTTGGACCTCCAGATTGTCTGCTATGTTTTTTTGTTTGTATGTTTATTTGGGCAAATGTAAACGATGGCCCACAATGCAGCTGCTTAACTTCACTTTTAAAAATTAACCAATAACTCGAATGCACATAAAATATTAACCTCATGTAATTTTGTTAGCTTTGCAGTTTTCACCTCACACCAGATTATTTTTTTTTTGTTTTTAAATCTTAGCTAGTTTTTTTTTTGACCACGTAAATATTTTGTTGATTAATGTTTTCATCACAAATTGTTTGATGTTCAATCTTAATCTCAGATAATTATTTGCTGTTTAAAAATTTCACGAGAATTTATGGCAAAATTAAATGTTGTTTATTGCTCTTTTGAAACTTTAACACTTAGTCAGTTGTAGTTTAATAGCAGAGTCATTGAAAATGAACATTTAAAATGAAATTGAGGTAAATAACACAGAAACACGTGGCATAAGCGGAGTACGCGGTTCCTAGTCGAGCTGGGGAGATTTATCGCGCCATCTGCACAAAGAATGGAGGCCTTGAATAGAAACTTGGCCCAATATCCGGGACCCAACCACGAGTTTGCGACCGTAACGGCATGTTCGTCATAGAGGGGTGCTGAACGGCAGTGTCTGCTAGAATCCTCGTCGTGGGGGAGAACAGCCACAACCAGGAGCCCCAAATTCTGCTCGTGCTACAACGCCCCCTATGGGTGATTTTGCTGTGTTCTAAAAATGAAATTGCTGCATAGAGTTTTTTATTAAAATTTTGTTGTGTCGTTGAATGAACTTGCGTGTTGGCATCCAGTTACTTTAATTCAGATTTTTCTTTGTTTTTAATAACTTTGTGATATTCAAATATTTGCATTGAATCAGAACGTTTAATTTGATTTCATTTAACGTTAGAAAAGTTTTTTTGGTAGCTGAGCATTAAAAGGTGTCTTCAACCGGCACAAATTAGTCGCAGCTTTTTTTTTCTTTTCTTTGTCAGTGGAGGAATAAATAATTTTGTGTGGGCATGTTAATCACCATAACTGTAGATACTGATCCAATACAAATTCATACTGTAAGGAGGAGGTTCATACACAGTACCCCCAAAGAATTAATGTTTGGTGCGGCATTATTGATCGCCCCATTGTAGGCCCCTTCTACATTTACGGAAATTATAAACATTTGATAAAAAAAATTGCTTATAAATGATCTCAAAAAAGCGCTAACTATTCACGTGGCCAATCACGTGATTTGCACAGGAACGTTTGGGTATTCTTCACTTAAAGCTACCGCTATTATAAATCAATACAGTTATTAATTTAGTCTGAAACTGCAAACTAACACACATTATTATTGTCGACGCCAAACGCTGAATTTAGTTGATCTCAATATAGCTCTGAATTGTTTGATTGTATGATTGAGCTGTCAATAACTAACAACAAAGGGTCATTATTCTGTATGCATTTCATTACAAAATTAAATATACTTAGTTAATTATCCAGGCTCGAAATTTTATAATTTTGATATAATTGTGGCACCTAATCAATTATCTAGGTAATTAATGACATTAAACCAACAATTTCAGGAAACGAAAATAACATATGCAACTTTAAGGGAATCATCTATGCCTTTTTTGAAGTTTTAATTAAGCCCTTGTTTGTTAAAATAACATATGCTGTGCCTGCATGTAGTGAAATATTTATAATTAAAATCGATATAACCGTCTAACTATGCATAATAAAAAAACTGAAAGGAATGTCAGTGTTTATTTATATTAATAAGTACTGAGTAAATATTGAAGTTTTTTGTTGACACATTTCTTTCACTGAATGCTTGAAATCTATGTTACAATCGTTAAGCGTTAATTAACAAATTTGTTTTCTACTAGAAAAATTTCCTCATCAACTGAACTCCATAGAATAGAGTTTATGCAATCAATTGAAAAAGTAAATTAGGAGTAACTTGAAGCAGCTGTGCATTAAGTTTCAAGCCTGGACAATTTCAAACTATATTAAATGAGTCTAGTACGAAAGCACACGTGAAAATAATGTATAAGAGATACATAAGATCTTTCAAAGCCTTATGTCTTGGTAACGGAGATTTGTCAACGTTCGTTGTTCTAAAATACCTACAAGGCTATTTCAAAAACAAAATACCTAACTAGTAATAAAAACTTTCATACTCGAAACAATTGCAGAATTTTGGTATATTCGATAAGTCTTAACAATGGCCTAATAAAACACAACAATAGGTTCGGTTTAATATAAAAGCTGCAGATTTTGTTTTTCTCTTCACTTCGTCCCAGACCAAGAAGCAAACATGAAAAGCGCCATTACACTTTTTTTCCTTGCTGTTTTCTGCATTAGCCTTGCCACTCCAAGGGTGCGTATGTTTTGTCATAAAAGGTACATCTTTTACTCTCAGTTTTAGTCCATCGACCAACCGGACGATGACAACAATCATGATGGCGTAGCAGCTGCTCAAAGAGTAAATTTGTTAATTTATTTTATATAAATATTTATCGTTATAAACATTGTAGAAAAGAAGAGATGCCGACGATGCCTCCTCCGATGCAGTAACTGCCGAAGACTCCGCAGAAAGAGTAAATCTGTTAATTTATTTTTTATAAATATTTATCGTTATAAAAATTGTAGAAACGAAGAGATGCCGATGATGCCTCCTCCGATGCAGCAAATGCCGAAGATTCCGCAGAAAGAGTAAATCTGTTAATTTATTTTTTATAAATATTTATCGTTATAAACATTGTAGAAACGAAGAGATGCCGAGGAAGCCTCCTCCGATGCAGCAGATGCCGAAGGGTCCGCAGAAAGAGTAAATCTGTTAATTTATTTTTTATAAATATTTATCGTTACAAACATTGTAGAAACGAAGAGATGCCGACGATGCCTCCTCCGATGCATCAAAAGCCGAAGATTCCGCAGAAAGAGTAAATCTGTTAATTTATTTTTTATAAATATTTATCGTTATAAACATTGTAGAAACGACGAGATGCCGATGATGCCTCCTCCGATGCAGCAAATGCCGAAGATTCCGCAGAAAGAGTAAATCTGTTAATTTATTTTTTATAAATGTTTATCGTTATAAACATTGTAGAAACGAAGAGATGCCGATGATGCCTCCTCCGATGCAGCAGATGCCGAAGATTCCGCAGAAAGAGTAAATCTGTTAATTTATTTTTTATAAATATTTATCGTTATAAACATTGTAGAAACGAAGAGATGCCGATGAAGCCTCCTCCGATGCAGCAGATGCCGAAGGGTCCGCAGAAAGAGTAAATCTGTTAATTTATTTTTTATAAATATTTATCGTTACAAACATTGTAGAAACGAAGAGATGCCGACGATGCCTCCTCCGATGCATCAAAAGCCGAAGATTCCGCAGAAAGAGTAAATCTGTTAATTTATTTTTTATAAATATTTATCGTTATAAACATTGTAGAAACGACGAGATGCCGATGATGCCTCCTCCGATGCAGCAAATGCCGAAGATTCCGCAGAAAGAGTAAATCTGTTAATTTATTTTTTATAAATGTTTATCGTTATAAACATTGTAGAAACGAAGAGATGCCGATGATGCCTCCTCCGATGCAGCAGATGCCGAAGATTCCGCAGAAAGAGTAAATCTGTTAATTTAGTTTTTATAAATATTTATCGTTATAAACATTGTAGAAACGAAGAGATGCCGATGAAGCCTCCTCCGATGCAGCAGATGCCGAAGGGTCCGCAGAAAGAGTAAATCTGTTAATTTATTTTTTATAAATATTTATCGTTACAAACATTGTAGAAACGAAGAGATGCCGACGATGCCTCCTCCGATGCATCAAAAGCCGAAGATTCCGCAGAAAGAGTAAATCTGTTAATTTATTTTTTATAAATATTTATCGTTATAAACATTGTAGAAACGACGAGATGCCGATGATGCCTCCTCCGATGCAGCAGATGCCGAAGATTCCGCAGAAAGAGTAAATCTGTTAATTTATTTTTTATAAATATTTATCGTTATAAACATTGTAGAAACGAAGAGATGCCGATGAAGCCTCCTCCGATGCAGCAGATGCCGAAGGGTCCGCAGAAAGAGTAAATCTGTTAATTTATTTTTTATAAATATTTATCGTTACAAACATTGTAGAAACGAAGAGATGCCGACGATGCCTCCTCCGATGCATCAAAAGCCGAAGATTCCGCAGAAAGAGTAAATCTGTTAATTTATTTTTTATAAATATTTATCGTTATAAACATTGTAGAAACGACGAGATGCCGATGATGCCTCCTCCGATGCAGCAGATGCCGAAGATTCCGCAGAAAGAGTAAATCTGTTAATTTATTTTTTATAAATATTTATCGTTATAAACATTGTAGAAACGAAGAGATGCCGATGAAGCCTCCTCCGATGCAGCAGATGCCGAAGGGTCCGCAGAAAGAGTAAATCTGTTAATTTATTTTTTATAAATATTTATCGTTACAAACATTGTAGAAACGAAGAGATGCCGACGATGCCTCCTCCGATGCATCAAAAGCCGAAGATTCCGCAGAAAGAGTAAATCTGTTAATTTATTTTTTATAAATATTTATCGTTATAAACATTGTAGAAACGACGAGATGCCGATGATGCCTCCTCCGATGCAGCAGATGCCGAAGATTCCGCAGAAAGAGTAAATCTGTTAATTTATTTTTTATAAATATTTATCGTTATAAACATTGTAGAAACGAAGAGATGCCGATGAAGCCTCCTCCGATGCAGCAGATGCCGAAGGGTCCGCAGAAAGAGTAAATCTGTTAATTTATTTTTTATAAATATTTATCGTTACAAACATTGTAGAAACGAAGAGATGCCGACGATGCCTCCTCCGATGCATCAAAAGCCGAAGATTCCGCAGAAAGAGTAAATCTGTTAATTTATTTTTTATAAATATTTATCGTTATAAACTTTGTAGAAACGACGAGATGCCGACGATGCCTCCTCCGATGCATCAAAAGCCGAAGATTCCGCAGAAAGAGTAAATCTGTTAATTTATTTTTTATTAATGTTTATCGTTATAAACATTGTAGAAACGAAGAGATGCCGATGATGCCTCCTCCGATGCAGCAGATGCCGAAGATTCCGCAGAAAGAGTAAATCTGTTAATTTATTTTTTTTAATATTTATCGTTATAAACATTGTAGAAACGAAGAGATGCCGATGATGCCTCCTCCGATGCAGCAGATGCCGAAGATTCCGCAGAAAGAGTAAGGGCCGGTTTATAGAACACCGAGTTAAATATTTAATCCTCGATTAGTTTAACCTAGACTTATTAAAATGTGGAATATGAGCCCGTGATTGATTAAAATATGCGCGTTACCTCGCAACGGACCTCAGTTAAAAGTTAATCGGGAATTAACTTTAACTTCGCTTTCTATAAATCGGGTCTAAATCTGTTAATTTATTTTTTATAAATATTATCGTTATAAACATTGTAGAAACGAAGAGATGCCGACGATTCCTCCTCCGAGGAAGAGTCCGCAGAAAGAGTAAATCTGTTAATTTAATTTTTATAAAAGTTTTTCAATATAAAAATTTACAGAAACGAAGAAACGCCGGCGATGATGACGGCGAAGAAAAAGTAATTTTTTCTATTTAATACCTGCGACTTTGTAATAACAAAATTAATTACAGAAGTGACTTTGGTAACATTGGAGGCCATGCTTTTCTCCTAGGGTATATGCAATCTGATAATAAAATATTCTTTAATGTATCAGCAAACTGTAATTAAAAAAGTTACAAGTTATTTTATTGTTTTTTCTTTGTACATTTGCACTGCTAAAACGTCAGAACTAAATTAGGTATATGCTTTCAAAAGACATAAATTGGTACAAGAATATATACCTATAGAACAGATACAAAAAATCCAGCCCCTAGAAACTGAATCGGGAGCTTAATCCACCCGTTTTCAGCGTTTGAAAGGAATTTACAATTCCGATAATAATCAGACCCCCCAGAAGAACATCTTTAACATTTGGTGGTGCGAAGAAGAATGTGTTCTGTTTTTGGTTAAAACAAAGAAAACTCTGAATTTGTGGATCTGCAAAACCAAAAATAAATAAACATAGAAACATATTCAACATAAAACTTATGAAGTCATTATTTTTTTATTATAAAAAGTAAAAATCTCAAATAAGATTCAACCCTCGAGAAATTTATTGTTGTCGAAATTTTATTACTTTCTTTCAATAAATCTGAATAACGTTGTATCTCTGGCATCGTCATAATCATGTAATGTTTCCTGCAGGATATAACCCCAGTAAAAATTAGTCTAAAAAGCTCAAACAGTAGGTTCTTCCCTTGCCTTGGAGAGACTGACCGATGCACGTCACGATTTGTTCTCACATATATTGCGACGAAATTCCGGTTGGACGGTCCGGAATCTCGCCGATAACGTGTGGTGGCGGCGTACTGGCCGACCGAGCTTATGCGGCGACGTTCACGCCACCGGGGGTGGCGCCTTCGGTCAGGAGCGGTGGTCGCGTAGGCGCCAGCTCCGTCTCCGGGGGAGGAAGCGCCGGGGTGCTCTAAAGCCGGAGACACGGAATTCAGGTGGTGAGCGCCCGCGAAAACATGAGAAGAGATAAAATAAAACGGCAAGGATGTTTTACAATAAATAGGGTTTATTCCCTGCCACCAGCTACACGGTCTAAAATAATAAAACTTACGGCTAAACAACTTAAATAATTACAAAACGGTTTTACAAACAAAATTAAATTAAATGTCCGGCACGGTCGTTCCTCTTGGGCGGCGAGTTCCCTCAGGACGGGCTCTTCCCGGCTCTGTGGGCAGCGACCTTGAGACCTGGAAATCGCGCGAAGACAGCGCGGTGACGGTAACGACGCGTACACGACGGTTTCGACTTCTGACGGCGACAAAAAAAAACCGGTGTCGGTGACACGGTTTCTCGCTCGAGGGCGGCGATTCCAAAACCGGTACAAAAGAGGCAGGCGACCCAAAAAGGTACTTATGGTGGTCGGAGGGTCGAACCTCTTCTTCCGCGAATTTACCCCCGGCTCTCGCGGTACGCGTCACGGTTTCCGGTCCGCGAAAATTCGCTTCGTTACAATATTAATAATAATAATAATAATAAACCCAATCCATCAGGTTAACAAAACTAACGGGTGTACAATAAAAAATATATTTGCAGTAGGCGCTGGAACGAAAACTCCACAATTGTGGTAACAGGGCAAATAATATCGAAGCGTAAGTAGGCAACCAAATATACTTCAGAGCATGGATGGGTACATCACTACCATCTTAAATACAAAAAAAGTGACATTTGACGTTCTGGATTTCCTAACCCTAACGTTCGTATCGCCTTTTTGCAGTTTAGTTGTTATTTCATCTTTTGCTTTGTTTGTGTGATAAAAATCAGTTCTTTTCAGAACTAGCGTGTGAGTTTTGCGTTTAAAGTCATTTTTTAACAAGAATGGCTTTTTCTGAACGACACAAAATATTCATGGTAATGTCGTACTACCGAAACGGTGTAAAAGAAGATGGAACTTGGCAATATTCAATTGGATTATGTATGGAAGAGTTTCGAGAAGAATTCCCTGATTTTGCCGTAGAGTATACGCAGTTTCGACAAACTTTAAATGTCTCGTTAAAAAATTTTCAAGAAAATGGATCTGTGACACGAAAACCTGGAAGTGGCCGTCCAAAAAAACGAACTCCAGAACTAATTGAAGAAGCGAGAGAAGTAATGGAAGAAACCCCGGGTACTTCTATCCGTCATTTATCACAACAACTTGGTTTGTCTGTTGGCACCTGTAACACTCTTCTAAAAAAGGATCTTCATTTGTTTCCTTATCGTCTCACATCTGTACATGAATTACATCCAACAGACTTTCCTCAAAGAGTTCAATACTGTGAATGGTTTCTGAATACTCTGGATATGGGCGACCACCTTGAAAAAACGTTTTTCACCGATGAAGCATACTTTCATCTTAGTGGCTATGTAAACTCACAAAACACAAGAATGTGGACTTCAGAAAATCCACACTTTTTCATTGAGTCGCCCCAATATCCCCAGAAAGTTGGTGTTTGGGCTGCAATTAGCCAACGCAGAATAATTGGTCCAATTTTTTTTGACGGTAAAGAGGTTTTTAGTATTTTAACAACAAAATAATGATATTTCATTTCAGGAAACATAAATGCTGCAAGATACCGTGACGAAATTTTAAGTGTATTCTTAAATCAGCTGGATGATGAAGAATTAGTGTATGGTTACTTTCAGCAGGACGGTGCCACTGCTCATACAACTGGAGCTACAATAGGTTTTTTGTCTGGATTTTATGAAAATAGGATTATTAGTCGCAATACACCAAATAACTGGCCGCCTAGATCATGTGATCTCACTCCTTGTGACTTCTTCTTGTGGCCACATATAAAAAATTCAATTTATACAACACCCATAAATGACTTGGAAGAATTACGGAATAGGATAACACACAAAATTAATGATATTAATAATAGTGCAAGTGTTTTAGAAAATGTGGCAAATGCAGTAAGGCGAAGGGCTAGGTTGTGTCTACAAGAAGGGGGTTCTCACTTCCAGCATTTGTTGTAATGTAATTCAAAATGTAACATTTATCAGGCCTTACATAATGTTCGACAGAATTATGCAGAATGCTTTCATATTGTTGTTACAGAAGATTTCAATAAAGTGTCGTAGACTTATCTTTTCTTTTACCTTCTTAAGAAACAAAGTGTTGTAATGAACTGATCTTTTCAATAACCAGTATGATTTGCATACTTGCATTTATTTTTATATTTCAAAAGTAAATCGTCAAAATAAAACACTAGTCACTTGTTTTCTTTTGTAATTACTGTGGCCGGTGAGAAGAGAAATGAATGAAGTGGACTGTAATTATTGTTTTATTGTACACAACACTGGACAGTAACAGTCCACATAACTAGTCTGCTATCGAAGGACTAACAAACTAAAAAATGTTCAAGTGCGGTAAAGGCAGATGTGAAAGGGTATGGTCCGCCCAACCCTTTGGTCTTCGACTATGGTACGAGCCGCCGATAAGAAATGCCGCACTAAAAGACCGCCGCCGCCCCTTGACAGAGGGGGACCTCCCAGCAAAGAGTGCCATCAACAAAAGCGCGGGTCGCCCCAAAGAGTGCTGCCGGTTGTACAGGCCGTCCCAGTAATTATTTATTAATTTTATTTGAATAATTTGCGTCAAGCAGATTTGCATTAAAGTGAGAAAATGTTTTCTAACCAAACATTATTTGCCGCTAAATGTCATTCTCAATGACCTTCAGTTTTTACGTGACTCTTTCTACACTTTAAAAAAGCCGCAAACAATTGAATTTTCAGCGCCTGCTCCAAATATATTTTTTATTGTACACCCGTTATAACACATGTGCTACATTTTGCAGGAATTGATTTAATAGTTTCGAAAATAAAATGTAAAATTTGTTGTACAGTTTTGATTTTTCTTTTCAAAAGTCTGTACATTTCGGCTGCACTGATAAGTGATCAATCAAAATCAGAGACGCACAGTATTTTCCATATTTTAGACAGAATTTACACAGTATTAAACGTTATCAAATGGTGATTGTGGATGAACAAACAAATTTTGGTTGGCGTTTAACCGTCTACATAAAATATGTAAAATATGTGTGAATCTGCTACAGGTAATAGTTTTTAATGCCGACATACCTTGCATAAAGAATGTATCCTATGTCAGACATTCTTTTACTAATTATAAAATAAATAATCTTAAACGAAAGATTACTTCGTGCAAAATTTTGTTTAAAAAAAATTGCATAACAACATAACCATTTCCTTACTTTATAACTGTTGTAAAAGTGTAATCGACCATTATTTAATTCTTTTCTAAACCAAAACACTTTCATAATTATTCCGAGTACAGTTTTCCACATAAGTCACAGAACTGTTTTTCTGTACTCTCTGCCCTTTTTTTGCTCGTTTCCACTAAATCTATGAAATGTTTTTCCCATTTCTGCATCCCAACTTTTTCGCTTACAATTTCTTTCCTCTTCCTATTTTTGTTAATGTACTTCCATATTTCTTTCTCTGATTTAATTTCCTTTACCTATTACGTTTCTCCATTCATTGCTTGCTTTTCTTGGTCTTTTTTACTTCCGTATGTTTCTCTGACTTTGAGGAATTCATCTTTTGTTACCTTTTGGTTTTTCCATTTTCTTTTTATCTTCCTTGTTTCTGTTTTTAAGACATAACATTCCTCGTTCCAACTGTCATTTTTCTTCTCTCCACTTCTACCTACACGAATTTATACCTTTATTTCCGCATTTTTATCAGTTATTCCAATTCAGGAAAGTGTGCGTTCTTAATTTCGTTTCATATGCCCCACTAGCCCTCTCATCCCATATTATTCTCATATGTTTTCCTGAATATATATCACTACTGAATAATTTATTACCGATTGTCCTCTCGGTCCTACATAAGTTAATTCACTTTCATCATAGCCAGTTTTATTTTCATTCAAGGTCTTTTCATTCGTTCATTTTTGGTCCATCATCTTCTGTATTACCGATTCTTCCTCTTTTACTTGATATTCTTGCATTGAAATCTGCACCTACAATTTCATAGTTGTCTCCATTTATTTCTATTTTATCTTTATTTTTTCTTTCTTTGTTGTCATGTTTTCACTACATACCGTTTTAATGTGCTATTTGTTTTCTTTTATTATGTTGGTCCATCTCATTCTTTACTGCAGTTCATCTTTAATTCTTTCTTTTCTTGTTTTATTTTATCAATATTCTTATGGACCCTATCCTCTAACATATCCAATTAGGATCTCTTGGTATTTTGTTTTTCATTTTTTCTCACCTCTTTACTTCTATCGATGTTCATTATCTTTCCTGTTACCGTCCCCCAACCCTTATTCGAAATTATTTTAACATTTTCATTGTTGTCTTCTTTTTCCCCTTATTCTTATTCATCTTACTTTGTCTGTCATCTTTTTTACATCTTGTACCATATCCATGGCTAAGGTAGTTTTCGAATTTTCCTTTTCATTTGCTTCTCTTTTCAATCGGGTATGCTTCTGTCTATCTTTAACTTTTTTTTGTTCTTGCTGCTGTCCCATTGGTGATCTTTCACTATATTTTCTTCCTTTGGTTTTTCTTTTTCCATATATTTTTTATAATATTTGCGGCTTTCTTTTTTGTTTTTTTTTTTTCAGTATTGCGTTTAATTAATTACAAGCGTAAACGCACAATATTTTGCATACTTTAGATGAAATTTGCATAGTAAATTTTGACGTGACGTCATCAAATGGTTCTTAGGGATGAACAAACAACTTTTGGTTGGCGTTTCATCGCCTTCATGATATGTAGTATAAAGTACGTGTGAATCTGTTACAAATAATAATTTTTAATTCCGACATGGTTTGCATAAAGAATACTTCCTGTATAAGACATTTTTTTACATAATTAGAAAATAAATAATCTTAAACGAACGATTGCTTCATGCATTTTGTTTACAAAAACTTATAATCATAGTTTAATTACCAATTACCAATTTCTGCCTCAACAAATATTACTAACAATAATTATTATTAATATTGTTCTTGAATAACATAACCATTTACTTACCCGATTTATGACTGTCGTAAAAATGTAGTCCACCATTATTATTTTATTCTTTTCTAAATCTTAACACTTTGATTATTTCGAGTAAAGGTTTCCACATGAGTCACAAAAATCAGTTTAATTTTACTTCCAAGTAACAGGTGGCGCTGGTAATTTCACTCGGTAAAAATATACAAGACATTTACGCACCTGTGCTTTAATAATTAAAACGTCAAAGACTCCCATAAATAAATTTATTAATTTGAATTTTACACTTTTACTTAAAACTACCCTACAACATCAACCCTCGTCCTCCGAATCCTCTTCATCTTTCTTAATAATCCCCAAAGTCTTCGCCACCTTTTTCACCTTCGCTATGACTTCTTCCTGGACCAGGTTGAAGCTCATCGCCAAAAGAGCAATCCCGAAAAGCAAATACAAGGAACACAAGGCAATACTAATAGTCGCTCTGTTTACATCTTCGTTATCATTGATCCCATCATTCAGGTTGTCGTAACTAACCCCTTTGGCAGGGACGAGATCTCCAAACCCGATAGTCGTCAAGGTAATAAAGCAAAAGTAGGCGGCATCCAACAAGTCCCAGTTTTCCCAAGACTTGAAGAGAAAAGCTCCGGCTACTATGTAACTCACGACGAGAAAAACACACAACCAGATGGGTACCGGTCGAATTCTCGTCCTCACAATTTCGTAGTACTCGTCTTCATCTTCGTAAAATTCTTCCTCTTCTGAATCTGGATCATCGAGGTACTTGCTGCGATGACCGTAGCCAAGGGGTGTCATCATCTTCGGGCTGGGGTTTTGGCGGGCTGTACAAACAAGGTACTGGCTGCATGATACATTTATTACACAACTGGGTACTTACGAGGCGACTTCTTTCTTTTCGCTCGGGGACTCTTCCTGGACCCATCTGACGAAGACGAAGGCGATGGCACCCGTGGAGGTTCCAAGTACTGTTGGTTCCTGGGTAAAGATTTAGCTCGTCGGTCTAAAGGTGGACTCCGCCCTTGCCCTTCCATGTCTCTGGTGGTAATTCCCGGAATATTATTTGAAGCGATTTCATTTTTATCGACCACGTATTTGTTGCACAGGATTGGGGTTTTGGCCAAAATTATAGGATCCAGCTCGATGATTTCCATGCTTTTTTGGCTTCTGCGGCGGTCGAGAGACCCGGTCTTGCTATTGGTTGATTGGCGGTTGACACTGGGGCTTTTACGTCTTGGTGGTGGGACGCTGGAGTCCGAAAAACGGGAGACCTGCGATGGGCGCATTCGGGGAAGGCTGGACCCACGGGGGATGTGGTCACGAGCTTCTTCATGGTATCTTGAGAGACGACAAGTTGTAAATACTCATACTCAATATTAAGCAACATATTTCGCTAACATTTTATTTTGCAACCGTCTGAATCTTAACCAAAACAACTCAATGTACCTCAGTTCAGTGTCGGAATGCGAATAGTGTCCGATCTCCGACCTCCCAAACCCGCTATCTGCGGACCTTGTGGATGTCCTCATCGACCTCCGAAACGAGGCGTTTCTCGACCTCGAGAAGCGACCTCTGCAAAAACACTACAGTGCCCTTTACCCCTACACATCTTACTTACTCAGGAGTCATGCGAGCGCTGCCACGTTTCGAGCGTTTCCTCTTCGGTCTCTTCGTGCATAAGTAGCAGCACACTCTCCAGTACAAAAATCTGAAGGATGTGGCCATGATGTCGCCGATGTTCGAGAGACAAAGAAGCATCAGAGGGATTCCCAGGATGGCGTAGAATATAGTCACTACTTTTCCCCATTGGGTCTTTGGGGAAATGTGACCGTAACCTGTTTAAATGGATTTATATTTTATTGAAGACGAGATTGTCGTGGTTGGAAGCGAGTAAATATCAGCAGCGGATCGATACTCATTTGCTAGGATAAATAGGCAGGTATGGAGTATGGTAGTAATACGGAGAAGAGTGTATACAGACACGTGTTGGGATTTGGAGGCAAATAGTTGAGGACGGTGTAATATGTCTAATTTACGTGTTCAGTGGAATCATTACAGGTATTAATGTTTGTTGTAGGCTGAATGTTGGTAAGTTCAATAAGAGGGCTGAAAAAGCTAGCCACTGCTAATCGGTCGCTCAATACTGTTTATATGAGAATTCATTCAAAAGAGTCTGAATATTAAAGGATGACATCGAATGAAAAGGTGAATCTCTATTACGTTGCGAAACAAAATTGGTTCAGAAGAGACTAAATAAAAATGATTGTTCTAATAAAAAATAATCACCAATTAAAATGATAAAATCGCTGCCTCAAGAAGCATAAATAATTCTATATTTAGTCAAACAAAAGAAGAGAAAAATCGTGCAATTCGACTACATCAATTACAAAATATATATTTGAGGATAATAGTAAAAATATTTAAATGTAAGTTAACTAAGAGAACTAAAGGATTAAAGAAGTGTTCTTATAAATGGTCACAAATTAATTATCAGATTGTAAGCAATTAAAAACTCTTACATTTTATCTGTGATAAAGTTTTGTAAAACAAAAATGAGAGGTAAATACTGCCTCAAAGTTATTTAGTTAGAACTCCGAAGCACAATTAATTACAGTTCGACAAAATCACGATTGTCTGGACAAAATATTTATTGTAAATAAAGACATAGGACTGAAAAAAAGTTATTTCGCCTTCCTCGTTCCTAAAGTATCGTACAGAAAATTCGAAAATTATAAAAAGTGATTTTGCGAAACTTTATAATAACTTACGTATTTTTTAGCAACTCTTATGGAGCTTGTTTGTTTGAATTCATCAATATATCGTATTTTAACCATCCATTCTCCGCCACTGCCTTTGATTCGTACGCATCATGTTACAAAAACACACACTGTTAACCTGTTTACATTTGATCTGGCGCGGAGTGTGGTGAAATCGGGTGAACGGTCAAATAATGACTCTAAAAATATAAACATACTGACAAGGCGCAACTTTGTCAGTGTGTGTATTATTGGTAAATGCAGTGCACGAGCAGTACTAATAATAAAAAAGTGGTCTAAGGTTATTTAGACAGAAGTTTCCTCGCCCCTGAATTACAGTCCAAAAGTCTAAAAAAATTTTGTGATGACTTCTATAAAGTAAAAAACTATGGCATTGATACCACAAGAATAGATTCAAAATGTTTTGCACATTTTCGATGGTATGTATCGGAGAAAATTTGACCATGGAGTCATCAATTTGGTGGAAGAGAGGAATACAGTACCATTATGAATATTATGTTCCACCATGCTTACGATAACCTTAAAACGTTTCGTAGATTTCGAACTTTAGGTTTTCCGCTTCCAAAAATAAATTGCAAGATGATGTCATCAATTTGGAGAGGGGGATAAACGGATGAATTTTAATTAACGATTAACCATGTTTCTGATTATGATAAAACGTTTCCAAGATTTCAAAGGATTTGTGATTTCAAATTTCAGTTGCAAAATGTTGCTACAGAAGTTTGACTTTTTTTACAAAAATCTAGTTGTCTACGGTAAAAACATAACAATAAGTCATAAACGCAAGCGTACGGGTTTGTTATTTTATAAAATGTAAATAACTTTATTTCAGCCAAATTGTAAGAAGACGTCAAGAATTTGGAAGCGGAGGAGAGTAAAAAACGAATACATTTTACAATTTAAATGCTTCCGATAAGCTTAAAATGTTTATAAGGCTTCACAATATTCAGCTTTCCAATTTAAAAGTTAAATTCTAATTTATTTTTTTTCAAAAATCTGATTGTCTACATTAAACTCAACCTGGATTTATAAGCCACAAACGAAGGGATGTTAATTTATAAAATTAGAACAACATTGACCGTTGTAAATTTGGAGGTCATCCCAACGTTGAGAGATTTGATTACATAAATTTACATATTTATAAATTATCTACATAAGACGGCGAACAAACAAACAGACAGACAGAGAGGGAGATGGAAAGAAGAGACACACTTCTTTATACTCCTGTGGTCATGAAACTTGAGAAAATATAGAAGTAGCAATTGGTCCGATACAGCATATTACCATAGAGACTGATTTTGACATACCTACATGGAATAATTGTAACCACGGCATTACCCATCGTAGTAATCTCGAAATATAGAAAAAACAAATTAAAAGTCGAATGGGACAAAACCCCATGAACCACCCTCGATGCGACGCTACTGATCCACCCTTTAAACAGTAGGTAGAAAAACGTTTGAAGAAAAACGATGTAAACACGTTCAGTTTCAATTAAAAGATTATTAGTTGTAAAAACAAATGGTCATCCTGAGAAGGACCGATTTTTGGTAATGCTTCATGATGATCAATGTATATATATTTGGTCCTTGCCACATCGATTCCACACTGTTTATTAGAACAAAAATAAGAGCAGCTTAGAATGCTACTACCTTTTCTCAATAAATGTTAAAAAGATTGTCCTTGACTAGAAGTGCAGGCTTTAGCACGGGGCGACATGTTTGCACGGATACGTAAAAAAATCCGGGAGTTCCACGAACTGCAGCGGCTGCCACTGCCACTCGTTGTGGAAGCTCTTCCATACTTTCAGGACATTGTTGATTTCCATAAACTAACTGTTTCAGCCAACCCCGCAGATAAAAATCACACGGATTGAGATTGGGTGAACGCGGAGGCCAAGCTAATGGGTCGTTTCTACTGACCCACACATTTATGGAAAACTGTCGTTGAAATCGTATTTCTTGACGAGCGTGTGGATTTTAGTCGGACCAAATGTGAGTGTTGCGGCTGTTGAAAAGAGTATTGCGAGTGAACCCTGCTTCATTCGTAAACAGAATGCAATTTAAAAAGTTACGACATTGTTGTACTAACCATTCGCAGTAAATTACACGACGTGGAAAATCAGCGGGCTTTAAATCTTCCACTTTTTGAACGTGGTATGATGTAGTACAAACAGTGAAACTCCAGCTTCAGCTGCAAGTCGGCGAATACTAATGTCGGGCTCTTCTTCGACGCATTCCAAAATTTGTTCTTCAGCTTACAGTATACTTTCGGTCCTATCACGGCCAAAATCGTGAGTTTGAGGCTTGAAGGTACTCATGTAAATGTTCGCATTCACGGAATCGCATGATTGGGAAAGCGCTCGATCCACCAACCTGGCGTTTCCATCAACCGCTCCATAAATCATTACCATGTGGACACGCTCTGAACTGGAAGAATTCACCACGGCAACCAACTGACCCTTATCGTGTTTTTGCACGTTGCTTATCAGTGCTTCGCTTTTTTGGTTTTTAATCCTGGTCGTTCTGTCCCATTCATTGAATTATGGAGGGTAAACTTCATCGACCAATTAAGCAACATACTTTAGAAATCTTTGTATTTTTTCTAAGCTAACAATGTGAACATTGTAAACTGGGCTCCATATTATGGATGCATATTCTAAACGAACTCGAACAAATGGACAATACAAGATTTTTAAGGAGTCCATATCACGTAAGCCTTTCGAGTTTCTTATTACAAAGCCCAGAGATTTATAAGCTGAAGTTGCAATATCATTAAAATGCGGCTGAAAACTCAATTTTGGATCAAATATAACACTCAGGTCCTTTACACAATTACACAGTGCAAATCTTATTGTGTATCAGTTCTTCCTTATTTTGACTCGTATCTTCTTGTATCTTCCTCATCATTTCCATTAAATCTTGAAATTGCGATGATTCATCTCCCGTAGCCATTCTTCTCGCAAAAGTTTTTGATGCCGCTGACGAGAAGAATGGCTACGGGAGATGAATCATCGCAATTTCAAGATTTAATGGAAATGATGAGGAAGATTCAAGAAGATACGAGTCAAAATAAGGAAGAACTGATGACAGGAATATGGAACAATTTAGAAGTTCTTAAGGTTGAAATTCATACTAAGATGGAAAATCTTTTGGAAGACAAGATTAGGGTGCAGAGCGAAGAACTGGTTAAAGTTTGTGAACAAAGAATCGCCGTATTAAATGAACGTCTTACAGAGGAAATTTCAAAGTTAGACCATAAATTAATTACTGTTGAAGCAGAATTTAATAAAAAACTCGAAGCTTTGAGAATGGTTGACACATCTGTCAATCCATTGACAATGTCAACGAACGCGAGCAATAAAATCATTATTAAACCAAATCCATATGATGGTAAGGCTTCATGGGAAGAATATTTCACTCAGTTCAATATTATAACCGACATAAATGGGTGGAACAATTCAGAGAAGGTTAATGTACTGGCGGCAATGTTAAGGGATGTGAATGTATTGCAGAATTTGCCGCAGGAAGATCGACTGAATTATGAGAAGCTCACATCAGCACTAAAACTGAGATTTGGTGATGGCCATTTAGCTGAACTTTTGTATGGTCAATTTCAAAATAGAACACAGCGTCTAAACGAAGATCTTACGTCGTACGCGTATGAAGTTCAGACGTTAGCAAAAAAAGTTTTTGTAAACTCCCCACTGGAAACGCAGGAATTAGTCGCATCAAAACAATTCGTAGAGGGTATAGAGGATATTGAAGTTCAGAAGATTGTGCGAATATTCAGTCCTCGGACTTTGCAAGAAGTCTTGGTCAAAGCGCTTGACATTGAAGCTGCAACAAAGGCAACTCAGTTGACTAAGAAAATTAGAACGGTTGAAGCTGAAGAGGAATATGAGGTAAAGGCTGCCAATATTCAACGTTTGATTCAAGATTCTCCAAGCAATGTAATTCGTTGTTGGGGGTGTGGAAAAAAAGGCCGTATATGTTCTCAATGTAAAAGTTTTTTTTGTAAGGAAAACGGTGGATTGAGGCACCAACACGACATCGAGA